ACGACTGGAGTTGGCGGCGGGAGTTCACTTGCAGGTGCATTGGGATCAGCACATAACGCGCCCGCCAGAACTGCAGCTGCTGAGCCGGGCTGAAGAGGTACTCGCGATGTCCGGCCACGTAATTATCGGCGTAGTTCCAATTGTATTCCTCCAAAGTCGGATCCAGTCGGATATTTTTGACTTCATATTCGGGGCTCAGGATCGTTCGCATGGCCGGCGAATACATGGTGAAGTCATTGGTCTTGTGTGACGCCAGCATGGCCGAGTTTCGATGGGTGTATCGGGTCACTTCGATCTCGGCCTCATCGATACACACGAGTCGATGGATCGTGTTTCCCTTCGACAAGAACACAGTTGCTCCGTCTCGTTCGAGGCTGCGGGTATCGAACACGTTGGGTGCCTCAAGAGAATACTGCCCTGACACTTCGACGACATTCTTGCCGACAACAATTTGGAACCCATGGGATAGGCGCAGCGAAATCATTTCACGCAGAAGCACGCCTCGTGTTTTCGGCGGCTCGACACCCTCTGCATCGTCGTTCGGGAACACACGATAGGGAGTTTGATAGTAGTCTGACGCCAGCTCGGTCGCCGTCGGGAACTCTTCCGTAGTCAAAGGCAAGATAGCAGGGGATTTCAAGCTCTTCCACTTGACAACAGCTACATGCGGAGGCCTCGGATATGCATGCTGCCAACGCCCAAACCAGCTAGTGTCTCGCAAGACGTCTTTCGGAGTATTGCAGGGATTGATGGACCGAACCCAAGGCGCCAAAGCCTTGGAAGGCGCGCTCTTGGATGCGTCCCGCGAGCTGCCATTGATGGTCACCCGTGGATGCGGCCTTTTGGCCCGGCCTTCATGGCGAGCTTCACCGGGTATGGGGATTTCGGTCGTTGTGGTTGAATATGACTCGGTGATAGGACGTTCGCCTGGCTCCGGATCATCCTCGGGTGGTTGCTTTGGAGGAACTTTGATCTCTATGGGTCGCGAAGGTGTAATTGCTGAGCTATTATGAGATTGCTTCTTGGGGGTAGTTGGTGTCGTCGAGAGATCGATCACTGTCCTTGTAGATGCAGAATCTGATATGCTGAGAGAGTCCACACTTCGAGTATCGGCAAACATCCCTGTGGTTTTCTTCACGTTTGCCGTCGATTGTCCTCGAGCATGCTCGACGTTAACTTCCGTGCTCGCCTGAGCTCTGGGAGGAGTGGCACTCAGACCCCGCAGGGCAAAGCTGATCGTACGCGAAATCCGAGGGATTCGAACACTGGAAGATGTCTTTAGCGCGGGCTTCTTCGGAGACACCGTCCTCGTAGGGACGGGCTTTTTCGGGACCGGGAGCGTGGCATCAATTTTTCGAGGCGCGGAAAACGTCGTCTGGGCGCGTTCATTCGAATTGGTCTCATTCTCCCTCAAGCGAGTGACGGACCGAGCGGACAGGCGATCGTGCGCGTTTGACACCTGAACTTCTGGCTCGCTGGGTCGCTTCTGCTTTGTCGGCTTCGGGCGCTGACGTCGCTTGGGGAATGGATGGAACACTCCTTCATCATACTGGTCCATCCATGAAACCACCGATTTGGAAGACTTTCGCGACTTGGGCAACATTGCATCCTTGGAACTTGCTATGTTCTGAAGAAATGGCTCAGGTCGGAGGCTGTCACTCAGCTGATGCCTGAAGGGGGAGTTTCTCTTAACAGGCAGGTTTCCTGCGCTTATACTCGCGGGACTCAAGGCCATTGCGTGATTTGACCTTCTCGAGATACCCTGTCCTTCAAGTAAATAAGGAATGGAAATGTTCGACTGTTCACTTTCCATGACACCCATCATCTGGATCTCATACATCCGCACGCGCGGCACAAATACCTTGGATTGCTTAGTGACTGTGAATGGAATCGGAGCGTTGGGATCCTTCTTCAGGATGCGTCGAGCCTCTCTGTACGTTGCAGGGTTCCAGTACGAAATGTCAAGCCAATGAGGAATGCCGTAATTCCATTCGTTCTGGCGTGATGACCAGGGTCTTGCGGCCATTCCAGGAAACGACTTTGGCGAGAGGTGCGAGCCCCTGCTGGCTAGGCTTGCAAATGACAGACGCATTTCAGGCGAATAGCCGCCATCTTGTATGTCCCCTCCATACGACGGGCTCTGTGTTTTCTGTACCGGCTCACGGTATTTGAACAGAGGCACCGAATGCAGCGGCATGGGACTAAGGCAGACCAGGTCAATGGCAATGCCCCGATTCGTGAGGGCTTCTGTCGTAGAAGCTAGAGATTCATATGAGACCTCGAAGACGCCACTTCCCGGCGTAATGACGATGATTGAAGTCCCCGTATGCACCATATCGCGATCGATATGATCATACGCCAGATGAGATGACGCCAGATGAATTGCCTCGAGAATGTTCCCGCGCAGCGCAGTGCTGGGCCGTCCGGCGATAGTGGCAGATTGGGCTGGAGGGGCCACCTTGACCCCATCGATGGTGGGCGTTTTAATGTCGTCTGTAGACTTGAGAATCGACACGTCCCTCAAGAACGTTCGGAAGTCCTTCTTCAGCTCATCCAGAATGGTGGTCCAATGGCCGCTCGCCATATCATTAACGACCACACGATAAAAGTCCCTGGTTGGCGCGCCATCTGGTGTGAAGTTGTTGTGCAAACTCTCCGATGTGAGACTAGAGGAGGGCCCAATGGCCGACGGATCGTATTCCACGCGCGCAAACAAAACAATGGTGACCAGATGTCTCGCGTCGGAATTCGCCCAGCGTTTGAAGAGCTCCGGCAGGAAGCCATTGATGACCCTGCTGAAGAGAATATCCCCAGTCCCTTCGGAATCAAAGTCCCACATCTCTCTCGACATCTGAATGAAGAGGACATATTTGGCCGATTCGCTTCGAAACACGGGGATAGTCTGCGGTGAAAAGAAGCCCGAGAGGACCTTTTTGCCCCGAATGAAGATATTCTTGACCGTGGCCTTGATACTTCCCATGAATACAATCTTCTGACCCTTGTAGACAATCTTCTCCGATAACTCCGACATGACCAGTCTCCACATGTCTGAGCGGACCAGGTACTGATCGCGGAAGGAGATATCCACGTGAGAGGCCGAGCATTGCGCACGCTCCACAATCGAGATGTGAACCGCCGTGCGGTTCTTGAACCCGAATATATTGGCCACGCTGCTCGTGACCGACAATTCAAGCTTCGGGTGACGAGACTTGATCTCCTGCGGCAGCGGCTTAACCACGAAGAGACATCGACTCTGCAACGGAGTCTTGAACTTGGACATGGGGTCTGCTGGAAGCGACGAGTTCAAGTCGACATGACTCTCGCGCAGCGACCGGGCTCCGATGTCTGCTTTGGCTGCATAGGTGGCATCGCCCGACAAGCGCGCGGGCAAGATCTCAATGACATCGCCCACCTGCACGCCGGTGTCGCTGAAGGCGGCCTGGTTGAACAAAATCTCCTCCTTGGAGAAGGTCTCATCATGGACCCATAGGGAACACTGGCGGCGGTCGATACCAGTAGACGAGAGTCGGGCCGCCTTGTCATCGGGAGTGGAGGAACGTTCCCGGGGCGTGCCACGAGAGAGCTCGGCGGTGCGCGAGCTGGAAAGCGTGTCGATACTGGCGGCGCTCACCTGCCGCAGGTGCGAACGCTTCATAGGGCCCCGCAACGACATTGTTTATCGTCACCGTCGCATGGTTGAACAATCATTGGCCCGGGAAATCAGTCTAGCGAGCAACTAAAGAACGGGTGGGTGGATTGACGTGATTGAGGCGCATTGGCATCATGGATGGCTGATCGATGATTGATTATTGATGGATTGCTTGATGCAGTGGCCCGCGACTTCCCCACATCATGTGACAGCTTCCGCATCCACAAGGGAAGGCGGTGTAGAGCCAAGCCTACTGCATCACGTGCGGTTACATGATTATCACGTGAGTGTAAGTGACGTGCACCTGAGGCAGTCATGATGCCATAAATATGCTGCCTCAGGCAACAAAGCAGATTCCTGCGATGCTTTGGAAGGGGATTGCAAATCTTCGGGGACCAGAAATCATCCAAACGAATCTCGACCCTGACGAGAGCCCGAGCCGCCCTCCTCGGATCGAGCCCGAGATCTCCGTCCATCCGAAGATACGAAAATACTTTCTTTTCGTTGAGATCTACGTGATATGGCGTACCTATTGGACCTACCCTCTAGATGCTGATGCGAAGTCGCGCAGTGCACATGCGGCCTACGATCGAGAATTCTCTCTGCGCCAGCCGATCGAGCTGGTGATTGATCCCATCATGCATGATCGGAATTTGAAGGGCATGAAACAATCCTTCTTATGATTTTCTTCTTATTTTTTTTTTTCCCCTGGCGTTCCCCAATTGAGCGAGTCGTACAAGCATAGATACTAGATAACTAGTTAGTCTAGACAATAACGTCAGCCCTGTCATGCGTTGGGAATATGCACAACCCAATGCAGTAATAATGCAGGAAAGGAATCAGCCATCGCCAAGGCAGTTGGTAAGTTGTGGAGAACAACTAGTTGTACTTGTGACTTCGGAATGGTTCGAAACGGTATACGGGCAGATGGGCTGGCCCGCAGACGATCCATCCAACTTTCCACTGCGGCGGGAAAAGAAGCCCTATCCAATTATAACCAATCGGTTATGACCAGGGCCCGCGCGGTCGATGGAGACTGACCAAACATCACCAATGAAAGGGACCGGAATGTGCCGCTTCCTCTGGCTGTGATGCCATGGGATGGATGGAGGAATGGATGGAAACCTGATAATGCAATTGTCCGCACCAGTCAATGCAAGACCTGCCCTCGACGTCTTGACAGATAGTACGTATATCCTAATCCGACTATACAGGGATTCCTATGATTTCACCTTGATGCGCTGTCCGACGCAGCCTGATTTACTTATCTCGCGTGGGCCAACAAGTAGTATATAATGAACGGTATTAAGGTGACCATGCATACGATGAGATTAGTAGGAATTTTCCAAAACCTGGGTGGTTCGGCTTGGCTCGATGTAGCGTGGTCGGGATTTGATCTCTGACATTCGGGATCTGGACCCTATTTGGGTACGCCGGGGCCATGCGTAAGCCATAGGGTGGATAATATTTTCAACTTGGCCAGTAGCCACGCAGTTCAACTGGGCTTCCACTCTCCCTTTTCATCCATTTTTGCTCTCCTGCACTTCGTTTCTTTTTCTTTTCTCGTGTTTCTAGCCCGAGGTCAAATCGTGGTTCACTCAGTGGTGTGCCTCGGAACATCTCGCTAAGATGGATAGGTCAGATTTGGATCAGCAGTACTCCGTAGTTTGACAGAGAAATCGCTCCCAGGACGCTATCGGGGCTAGCCTGCAAACTAACAGGCCCCATAGTCCATGCAGTCTCCGTTGCCTTCTCCAGATCGAGGATCCGTACACTGCCGAAGTGCCTCCTCCCAACACACCAGGCGTTCCGCCCGCTCTCCCGAAGAAGAGAGTTCACACCTGTCAAATTGCATGGCAAGAACTCTGATTACTGTAGAACGACAGATAGCGGAAGTACGAAGCGAGTCAGCAGCTGTACCTGAGAGTCAAATGAATGGCACGGTGGTGTGAGTGGTGAGGTTGTTGCCCAACATTCCCCAAATAGTAAATGCTTGTAGCCTCTCACCCAAACCCTTCACCATAACCATGGGCAGTGGCTCTTTGGTACTTTTTCTATCTTTTGTCCTCTTTCTGCCGTGCTCTAAATTTTATTATTTTCTTGCAAGCGTAATTTTGGGTTTCTTATCGCTCCTCTCTTAGTTTTTCCTGCTCTGCCCGGCTCTCGTCTAGACTCGAGACTCGTGAGGGATCTGGCACCCATGACCAACCGGACCATGGCCGAGAGCTTCTCCCAACCATGGATCAGTCAGCCCCCAACGGGCAGCAAGCTTCAGCTGCAAGCAGGGGGACGAACGGGTAGCTAGACCCGACAGGAATCAACCTTACAGACAAGGAGTTCAATAAACTACCGTTCCGCACGGTGACGGAGGTGCCTGCCAGCAAATGACAGCAACCCGTTGAGATGGAGAGTCGGCCCACCCTGGAAAACACGACTGCAAGGGAGAGTCCAACTGCTCTCTCTGTCTGTAACGATATACCCTCAACGCGCGAGAATAATGTACCAGAGGGAAGAGGGCGAGAGAGACTTCATCGACGCAGGGGGGAGGCGCGCTGTAGTTGCATACTGAGGAAAGTACTCCGCACATGCCCATCGCATACTCTACCGTGGTCTTGGAAATCTCTTTGGGCAAAGTGGCGCTCAAGCTAGCTCCATGTCAGAGCCATGGTGTCAAATGGCAGCAGCACCATAGCGAATTGTTGTCCAGCAAGGCAGCCGCATTCCCAGCCGCGCAGGAAGGCAAGTCATCTTACGAACCTCAACCTCCAATGAAATAGAAAAAGAGCACTCCACATTCAATGCGGTAGAGAGATAAACAAGATCAACGAGATTATTCCAAAGACTCGAACTTCACATCGAACATAAAATTGGATCCCAGCCAATGTCGGACCAATCAAGACACGTCTCCTTCCAGGGCGTCTCCAATATCGGATCGATGCCCAATAAAGGCGGAATCAAGTTCGGACCGTAGCCCGATTAGGACAAAGTTCGCCTGATGCCCTGCACTTCGGGGCTCGACGATCAATTCTACTATCCTGCGGGGGTCGTTTTCTTTTTCTCTGACAAACTAGCCTCGTCTCCCAGGTGGATAAAAAAAAAGAAAAGAAAAAGAAAAAGAAGGGAGGGGGAGGGCCATCGGATTGTAGAAAGCTGCAACAGTCATTGGGGAATAGAAACTGTCAAAAAGAGGCAAGACCCATGCGGACTGAAACGCCACGGAAGGGCTGCGACTTAAGACAAGGCTTGCGCTATGTAGATCCCCTCCTCGAATTTCATTGCTGCAGAGCTGGGGTTGTCTACATCTATTGACCATCATAGATAGCCTGTTCCAATCTATAGAGGGGACACGGGGCAGGAGTAGAAACAGGGAGGAATAAGAAAATAAGATAGAAGGAAAAAGGAAATAAAATAGTCATGATAAAAACTGGAATGTCAACGAGACCTACTCAAGTACCAGTTTAGTGGTCCAATGATCATAGATGGTGGAGGGACATAGACGACGACCCAAGTCGAAGCAAACAATTTTCCCTCGACCGAGACATTCTGGTCAGCACGCGATCCTAGTCACCACTCTGGCGGGAGGTGGGAAACCCGCTACAGCGGGTCAGTCCAGGTTTGCATCACTGGATAAGGGCCCTCGGTCAGCCATCGGTCTTGTTTCGGAAACGCAAGGTGGGTTGGGAGGGATCATCATGGAATGTTTGTTTGGACCGTGCGGACGGTCAGGATTTGCTGCGGTCGGCGGGGCTGGCGATGCCACCGAGTTCGGGGGCATGCTCAGCGATAAGTTCCTTACACACCAGCCAGGCTCTTTGGGAGGATGGATCCTTCGTCGACATTTCCGCTAGCCAGCCGGTCGCCTTAGACACCTGCACCAGCACCCGCCGAAACTTGGCACTCCCCGGCTTGGTCATGAGCAGCAATTCCATGATGAGGACGGTAGTCGACTGCATCAGATAATGTAATATGCACCACCAGGGAGAGACGCCATAGACCCAGGCCAAGTCCGGGGATTCGGGCAGTAAGTCGAGCATCTGACCTGCGAGGTCAACACACACGGTTGCCATGGTCTCGCAGAACCGTCCCGGTGGGTCATTGCCGTGATTTTGTTGGGCGAGACGGCTTAGGCACGGTTGCGTAATGAGCATCTTGGTGCTGCAAAAGCGAAATGCCAGGCTTGCCCGTTGCCTTTCGAACGCCGGCGCCCCTTTCGTAAAGTGGAAGGCGGGCGGGAGCCTGGACAGCCAGGCTTCAACCTTGCCGTGCAGCATGGAGATGGACCCCTCGATCTCCCGCCATGACTTTCGAGCTGCCCCTGGAGCATACAATAGGTCAACAGACTCTCGCATGATCAGCGCTAGGTCAATATGATAAAGAAAGTAAAGCGAAGTGTTCGGGGTAAGCGCTTCGATGGCGCCAGCAGCGACCTGGTCACTTTGTTTCCCAAAAGGAGACATTTGTAGTCGGTAGGAATCGGGCGTGCCCGCAATGTCGGGGGCTTTTCCAGGAACCCGTAAACAGAAGGTTTCCATGAAAATATTTCGAGCTTCATGATCAGCTATCAGTTGAACGACCTTGTTATCCATGAATTCCTCCTCCTTGAAAGGTACTGGGAGCGGCGTGGTGCAGAAAACGTCATTGGTGCTCGGTGGGCGACCCGTCATTACACAGAGTGAGTTATCCAGCATATATAGAGACCACCAAACCCGATAACGCGTCTCCTTGGACACGTGGACAATGGAATTGCTCTCACTCCGCAGGTTCAACCCCATCGTGACAGCCGAACGGATAGAGATACCACAGATTCTCCAGGACCTGCAAATTGGGTGTCGTTGAATCAGATAAGGATGCGAAAATCGCAGGCAAATCGCCACTAAGGAATCCAGAAAATGTGCCCAGAAACAAAGGGGGATGAGATTAGGGAAGAGCCGTACCTGTTGACTTGTCCTATAGACATTAAATAAAAGGAAGTCAGCCCCTCCACTTGTACTTGCTGCAGATTCGGGTGCTCTAGCAGAGCTGTATCACTCATGCTAAGCTTCCACGCTCGTGAGAAGTAGACAAGACTGTCATCGATCCCGTTGCCAGCATCATTATACAAATGACGCGCATGTTTCGCAGCGACAGCGAAGATCAGATTAAGTATCGCAAGCCATCGCTTTCCCGGCCGTACATGGGGAGCCGAGTAGAAAGACTTGTACTGTGCCAGAAAGATCATCTTGCCCACGATTGGAAACGTTGGATGGACGGCATGAAAATAGCCGTCCACAAGTTGGTCAGCAACCGCAACAGGAGGTCGTTGAGACGGATCAACATCATCAATAACTGGGATATCCGAGTCGTCTAGGAAGAAATTGACGGAAGAGACCGAATGTCGATCCCAGGTCTCTCGGGGGGAGGCGGAGTTCGATCGTTCTAGGAGGCGCTTCAGTCTGTACATCCAGGCGATTTCGGAATGTTCGCCCACAAAGCCCATGGCTTGTATCTTCTCGTCACGGTTAAAATCTTCGTTGGTATAGTCTAGAGCTGCCAGCGAAGACCCTGGGGAAGGATGTCCCAGAAGGGTTGCATCGGCTATTTTGGTGGCCGATGATGATGACGATGATGATGACGACGCATGAAGGCCACCGAGCTGCTCATGGTCGTCTCTTTGCTGTCATGGGGTTCTCATGTTAAAGAGCGCTGGGCATGGGCACTAGAGGGGGTGAAGACAAGGGGAGAAGACTTGTAAAGAGCGGGAGAGTTTGGGGCAGTAGAGATAAGTTAGAGGGATCTTACATCGTGCAAAATTCGTTCGACGTACTGGGCCGTCTGCGAGTCCAACTTGGGAGCAATCTCTCGCAAGACCGCTTCGTATACCTGAACTTGAGTCGTCAGATCACTGAGCTGCCTAGTACCCACCGTTAGATATATTCCTCGATGAACGTATAAGCAGTCACGGAACGCACTTGGCCATCTTTTCGCGTTTCCGATCCCCATAGGAGCAGCGGATCCCCGACTCCTGGCAACGCTGGCAAGTCGGGCGGTGACCGCTACATTTGGCCTTTTGATCACGACAGTTCTCACAAGCCCGGCTGACTCGGCCACTGCTGGTCCAGGTGCTTGTGCTCACAGTCCGCGGGATGGCCACCTTGGAGTTCCCCGAGCGATCTCCAGGAGCGCTCCGGGAGGCGCCAGCCGCGGGGTTCTCAGCATGACTGACGGGGACGGGCTCATAAGACACCGGTGGACCGAGAGAAGCTGGCTGCGAGTACTGAGGCACCGGCCAGCTATGATACTTGGGTTCACTGTCCGGTAAGTCGGAGGAGGCGGATGAGGGATAAGAGGGATAAGGGAAAGGAGGTGGCCGGTTGTTGTCGCTCATTGTCAAAGACAAGACGAGGCGAGGCGAGAAAACTTGTCAGCCCCCTTGGTCCCAACCCTCAATAGCACGGACAAACCCAGCAACAGCAAATACGGGCAAACACTCCTGATTAGCGAGCACTGGGCATAGGGGTCACTATAGACCAGGAGAGAACAATAATAGTGGACAAGGGCGGGTTTTGGTGTGACAGATTCATAGCAACAGCTTAACGCTTGTTGGCCGGGAGGGACCCAGAGCCGGTCAAGGGCGCCGTGTGGTAGGCTGGAGTTAACTGCCGGGTTTGGTCTCGCCACAGGTTGGGCGGAAATCGGCTCGCGTCTCCGGAACACCAAGTGGAATCGGACCAGAGGACTGTCCATCTGGCTATCATCTTCAACCATGGTTCTTCGCTCCCTCCATCTCCGCATTCTTGAACAAGGGACAAGGCTCTCGTCAGAAGTCATTCATGAGCCCTTCCCTTATGATTATTATCATTTTCCCTTTTTTATAAAATAAAAAAGAAAAAGAAAAAGAAAAAGAAAAAGGCGAGACGCTCGCCCGTGACCCTGCTAGAAAGGGCGCGACCTGACCTCGTGGTACCGCATGACAGCCAACACGACGCCAATGTTTTTGAAGCGGATAGGCCCCGTTTCCCTCCCATCCGGTTCAACAGCAACCTGAAAACATGGTCCGCGCCCAGAATGGGAGCTGGAAGCACCTCGAGACTCGCATCCGCTCTTGGAATGAGCGTTAGGGACACACCGCTGTGCAATTTGGATGGCACAGTTCCAACAACCAAATAGCGCCACCCGCACTATCAATTAATATGTGGTCTTTACTCACTCGCGTGCCCTGGGGTCGCTCAGTAGCGCCAAATAAAAGCTCATCGGGACCCAATGCCAGAGGCCTGGATAAGTCGAGTTTTGAGTTAAAACCCGGGGAGAAAAGCCAACACCCCGCAACCTCGACACCGCAAGGGCACCTGGTGGCTAATTCAGTACTTCATTTGAATGTCCTGTGCTGGCAAAGCACTGGCGTCAACGATGGCGGACAGACAACCACCTTTCCTTGGATCGGAGAGGGGTTGTGACAATTTTAGCAGACCTCGTCGCCAGTTCACGGGGAAGCTGCTGCCTATTCGAGGTAAGCAGTATATCATCTGCATCATCTGCCACCTACTTGCTGATGACTTTTCTTCTACCATGTTTCGTGACCTTTCCGTGGACGTTCTCCTCTCCTCCCTATTGGTGTCTGACTCGTGTCTTTTCTTCAATTTTTAGCCGCACGAACATTGAAAGCTGAAGATTCGAAATTAAAAAACGGTCCGGAAACGCAAATGAGCGTCGTACTTTTGCGACTATTCCCGGTATCAGAAATTGAAAGTTGACGACTCAAAATTTTCATTCATGTAAACCTTGATTGAAAACTCAACGGACATCTATACACCTACTGTCCGCGAAAGTTTAGAAGATCATGTGTTTGTATTGGGGGGATGAAGCGGTGGCTGGAAGCATGGCGAACAAGTTGGCGTGATCACATGTTCACAGGCTTGAATGGTGCTGCGTGAGATTTCTTCCTTGAGCGCTATTCAACTGCGTGCTGAGGTCAAATGATGATGATATGACCTTTGGCGTAATGCTTGTCGATAAACCATCACATGCTCGGTAGTCTGTGTTACCAAACCACGTCGCAGTACGTATGCAGTATGTCCCAGGCGATTTCCCCCCACTGGCTTATGGTCTCTTAACGCGTCGAGCAGAGATATTTGCAAGGAAATGTACTGATCATACCATTAGCCATCCTAGCACAGTCCAGCCGATCGGGTATCTCTGCAATCGACCAGCATTGACAAAGCACGCATGAAATGAATCTGTCATGCTGATCAAGAAGCTACTAGTCAAATATTGATATGAGCGGTTTTATATGTGCAAGAAGGCGATGAGGGCTCGGTGAGAGTTTGGGAGGCTTCGCGATGAGCTTGTTTTCTTTCCCTAGTTTCCTCTTCTGTCCATCCGGGACTGTCTGTAGGTGTCAGACCACCGTGCAGTGGCTCCAATACCAGAGCTCGTGGATCTGCGGATATAGAACTTGATAAGCTCTCTGGGGTTCGACGCAGATCGTGGACGAGGCGGCCGACCATGGCACTGGCATCGCCTCCTCAGGTTACCACTTGCTGGTTCTCCGTTCCGGAGCAGCCAATGTCATGGACGCCTAGCCGGTTCCATCAGCACAACTTTGAACGACATTCGGCGAGTCACGTTCTTCGTTTCATTTTGGGATGGGGATCGTTCGTTCACAAGCGCGTTCTGGCGAGGAGGCTTCGGGCCACGCATTCCGGCACATTCGACTCACAGTTATGAGTCTGCACTGAAGACAACACAAGGCATTAGCCAGCAGGCAAAGAGACCGTTGGGAGGATTAGCTTCACTTTTCAGATAGCGAGAACTCTCTTCGCGTCCGCCATCCAGAGGGGGTGCATGGAGGACATCGAGGGACGCATTGTTGAGTCCGCCGCCCCTCGAGCAAGGGAGGCGGGCAGGTGATTTACCAGGGTCCGTGCTTAGAAGGTATCTAGTAGACGCTTTTGCGATAGAAACGTATCCAGGGGGGATAGCGAAGAATGAGACGGGATGAGGTCAACACTGGTCGAACAGGTGAAGCCGTTGGATGTTTCGGCCGAAGCGGGGAGAAGATCGGGAAAGGAGAGAGTTTGGAGAGAAGGAAGCGACTTGTTCTGTCTGCCTGATCAGCAGGGCCAACTCCCCCAAGCGCCAGACCCCCAAGACTTCTCTCTCCGTCTGCGTTCGCATGGATGGCAGGAGAGGAAAAAGAATTCCCAACATCCACTGACCCAACATATGCGAACCAACCACCGGGGGGGCAGTCGACCGTTCAAATATGCTTCTTTCCCTCGGCCGAAACTTACTTGAGTAGTTCTGAAGTTCGGCACGGCCACCTGGATTGGCATGGAAAATGGTTCCGTATGGGGATGTGGCTGACTCTGTGACCCTCTCTTTCCAGCACGCGGACCAACAGATTTTCCTCCTGGAGCTTCGGCGGGGATGAAGTAAGGGCAGGATCTGGATGCCAGATTTCCATGCGCGATCTCGCCGATGGGATCGCAGGGAGGGAGTGGATAAAAGGGAAAAAAGGCGAGGTGGCGAAGAAGCAATCGGGTCCAGCTGCACTGTTGCCAGCTTCGAACATCGCTTCGCTACTAACAGTCTCTTAGTCTCGTTTCCCTCCCTGTGGCACCGGCACCCAATTCCGGATGTCCCCCTTCGCCAATGCGCTAACCAGGTTGTCCAGACTTTCAGCCTGATCTTTCCTCCAGTCTCATCCGGTTTCTCAGGATTAGCACCCCTTGCAACCGCCCGGCGTGGGACCCGATTGCTCGAGGCTTCTCAACTGCCCTGTCGGCTCTGCGATCGGTGATTTCTTCTATGGCATTACTTGTCTTATACTTCTGATTGATCTACAGCCTCTGTTCCCTCTTTTGAAAGTCCCGACCACACAGCGTGGGAGGTACGCACACAAGTACTGTTGGACAAGGCTTGGATGGGTTACGCGCACTTCGGGGTCTGGAAATTAAATCCGCATAGATAGACCCGCGTTAGCGCGCACGCTTGCGGGCAGCCACTGTCGATGTCCTCAGCTCCCCAACTTTTTAAACTCTACACTAATCTTGCTTTTTGCCCCTCAGACCTCGTCCCGCGAATTGCGTTCAGTCGGGGCTCCGGTTCCTGTCAGGTTTACACCATGCTCTGGTTTCCTTCTTCCTCCCTCTGGCAATTTTAATTGGACGACGACGGAATCCATCGTTTATCCACGCGTCGCGCCCTCACTCACCTGCCTGCGGCTATGTGACACGTCTAGGGGACTCTTCCTGGGCGGCTCGGAACCTTGCTCGGGTTTGCCGGTTTTACAATTCGCTCGGAATTCCTCGTTGACAAGTCAGATGGGGTTTGTCTTGTCTCGGATCACAGAGCATTTCCGGTGCGCGCACAATGGTTGAGTGCAGGAGATCAGATCATAAACTGGAATGGGGTGGAACAATGCTCCTCAGCTTTGCAAGGTAGCAGGCTTACAAGGATCGCCGTGGCGCCCTTGGCGCGTGGACACTGCCGTAACGCCACAGAGGTGGGAGACGGTGATTTCTCAGGTGTGCAATGCACGTGTTGGCCGCGGACTTGCTTCGTGTGCGCCCTCAAAACCGGTTGGCACTCGCCCGAGACGATCGTGATGCACGGCTCCACTCGGTTTAAAAGTTTGATGTACATGCCAATACTTGAGAAGATGACAGTGGAGTGGGACACGCTAACCCGGACAGCGTGTAAAAAAGTGATTTACTAGATTTGCTTATATCCATAGTAGTAGTACTAGTTGCTAGGAGGTCATACTCAAACATGAGGCTGAAGACTTGATACTAGATGCATTGCGGCAGTCAAACAGCAATATGATATATATATTTCTGGTAGTAGTTGGCACCTTGTCTCGAATTCTTATTCTTAAGGACCGCAGGAAATCCATTACTTCGTATCATACTTCTACCAAACCACTAGATAGTAGCATACTATCTATGCACCAAGCCTAATTATAAACGAGCTGCACAAATACCTAACTCGCCCCTTCTCTTGCTGTTTTGATGCAGCAATCCGACCTGGTCAAAATCAAGTAACTCTCGATCATGTGTCGCGATTCTTATCTAAGCGACAGTCTCGGCCTGAGGCTCGGCGATCTGTACCGACCGCCGACAGTCAGAACAACTCGATTCATCACTCATCCACTTCATCAAAATATACTCTGCACCAGCTACACGTCTCTTGCGGACAGTTTCAGGACGTGATACATCGAGTTGGGCATAGTCATGACTCATGAACCGTAGAAAACATCCCAGAGCGACCGACGAGGTCGAAAGTCCGAAACGGAGGAAGTTTGTTGCGTACGTCTACCCATCTCCCTCAAGCAGCAATCTGTGAACATCACAGCTAATTTCATCGTGCAAACATCCTTTCAGCTGCCAAAGGTGTCACGCACACAAAATCAAATGCTCTGGCGACCAGCCTTGCGCCAAATGTCGCCAGGTCGGCTGTGCCGATGAGTGCCAATACGCACCTCGGGACCGCCAGGTCAAAGTGAGCGAAAGGTAACGTCCAACGTTCTTGTGACTCACACGATGCTCGGGGATGGAAGGATGTCGTGCATGGCTTTTTATAGTAGCCGGGAATTGGACTGATCGAATTTTCCTCAGTTATCTGCACGAACTGCAGGCCGAGATTCGACGCCTGCGAGAACAACCGACCCCCTCGGTCAATCCGACCGAGGCCGAAGACGGGCGCGGCGGCGGCCCGTCGCGAACGGCAGAGGCGCCAGATGAAGCGGAGAGCAATAATAACCCCAATGTGCGCAATCCCTTGATTGGGGACCGAGCTTGGTTCCACCCATACGATCCTTCTGCACCACCGATTTTCGTGGGTGAGGCGGCATGCACGGCCTTTGCAACGCGCTTCCGGCGCTTCTTGACGGGGAGTAATGCGACGGCGCATATTACGCGCACGCAGTATGTCCGGGATGAGAATATCGCCGCGGCTAATACGGGGGATCTCTGGTGGCCGAGTCTGCATCAGGCGCGGTTACTATTGAAGATTGCGCTGCGGCAGATCGGTTTCATTTATCATCTGGTGCTGCGCAAATCGACGCTGGAGAAGCTCGAGGAGATCTACCAAACGGGCGACTTTGAGTGCAAGGTCAACCAGTGCAAGTTCTTTGCTCTGTTTGCGTTTGGGGAGGCCTACTCCATGCGGAATGAGCCATCCTTGGGATCTAGAGTACCAGGAACCAAGTACTTTGCGCGGGCGTTGAGCTTGGTGCAGGTGCTGCCAGAAAGGACGAGCATCACGCATCTGGAGACGCTGCTGTTGCTGTCTTTATTCTCGTATTATCTGAACCGACGGCATTCGGCTTACGTTTTAATTGGAAGCGCCATGCGTTTGGGGTTGTCGATCGGAATGAATCACAACGTTCCTGAGTCGCAGCTGATCGATCCGATCGAGAGGCAGCACCGGGTGCGCATCTGGTGGACGATCTACATCTTCGACCGCATGTGGGGATCGAAGATGGGCCTACCGTCCCAGATTTTGGATGATGATATCCATTTAGACATGCCGTCCAATGTTACCCCGGCACAGTTACAGGAGGAGCAGTTCTCCGATACCGAGTATCTCAAGGCCAACATCAGCCTGGCGCGGATCGTGGGTGAGACGATCGCCAAGTTGTACAGTCGCCGCAAGTACAGCGAGACATTCCTGCAACGCGTGCAGAAGCTACTGAAGGCGCTGAAGAACTGGGTGGAAACACTGCCAGAGCATTTGCGACTGGACCAGGTGGAGCCCGAGATGAGCCGGACGCCGGTAGGCTCGCTGCATCTATCGTTCAACCAGGTATGTTCATTCCAATTTCCACAGGATTCGATAACTGACCCCGAAACAAGTGTGTGATCTTGACAACCCGGCCAACCCTGCTCCACATTCTGATCAAACTGAGCGAAGCGGACGGAGCCCGACCAGAGGACATCGAAGAGATCTCCCAGCCGGTGCTCACACTCGGCGAAGCCTGCATCCACGCTGCACGGCACTCACACTCGATCATCCTGACACGATGGATCAACGGCACATTACCCACCTTCGGGTTCTTCCACGCACACTACCTCTTCTCCTCGGCACTCGTGCTCGCCATGTCCAGCTTCACGCCCGTCGGCAACCCCGCAGACCTGGGGGCCTTCGAAACCGGCATGGAGGTGCTGCGATCGATGAGCGAGAATGGCAATCTAGCGGCATCGGAATTCTACATCAACCTGGAACAGGTCAAAGTCTGCCTGGACCGATATCTGAGCGAGCGACGACGCGATTCCCGCAGTCGACGGAACGCCGCTGCAGCAATCGGACCCGGAACGGTATCCGCCAAAGACGCGGCCGCGTCTGCAGCGGCGACAGCAGCGGTGACTCCAGCTTCAACCAACACGGCACTGACAACGCATAGTATGGCCGAGGGGCCGATGGCCCCAGCCGAGTTTGGACTGCACCCGGTGACGACGGGGGTGCTGGAGGGAGGAGTAGTGCGGGATGCAGCGAGCGGGTTCACGACGGCGATGGCGTTTATGGAGCCGACAATGCAGGACTTTTTGGCGCAGAGCGATTTCGATTTGGGGATGTTGCATCCGGTGGATACGTATATGAATGAAGAGAATGTATATCAGGGGTATAGCTGATCCACGAAATAAGACATACTCTATGCAGTATATTTTATTACTATCTATCCAGAATGTAGTATCAAGTCTATCCATCTATATCATGAAACCATACACCATACCAAATGCATACTCATAGTCACATAATCCCATAACTAAACCTCCAACAACCCGAAGGAGATTAAGCCTCCCCCCACCTCCTCTCCACCCACCGCTGCATATCCAACCCCTTGCGGGTGATAATCACCACCAAAACGCCTCCAATAAGCGACAAAAACACACCTACCCCAACCCCACCGTTAGCCATCACAACCAACCAACCCAGAGACCCATACCAAGATAATTAAGAAAAAGGAATACTCACAAATAGTAAACGTCCACCCCACCCCAATAGCCCCAATCAACGGCTCCACAGCAGCACTACTCCCCGCGGAAAACAAATACTGGATGATGTATTTCCCACTGATTGCTTCGGATCGTCGATGGGGGAGTGCTTCTATTCACCCCCAAGGAATCAGATTAGCATGTGCACACTTCAACACCACAACACAAATCATGAATAGAAAGGGGTAGAAGAAAAACGTACCAGCAGCATACGTATTCAACCCATTAAACGTGCCCATAAGCCCGACGCCACCAAAGAACGCCGCAATGATAGGGACCACCATGCCGCCTTTCTCTTCCTGGAGAGTCCAGCCATAGACGAGTGCCGCGGCAGGGAGGACGAAGAATAAGGTCCCGAGACCAGAGTTAAGTCTATCTTGGGGAAGACGAACGCCATCACGTTTAATGATGTACTTCCGCACGGTACGGTCAGAGAGCCGTCCGCCGAGAACACTACCCACGAGGAATCCCGCGCCGGGAGCGAGGTAGAAGAGCCCCGAGACGAGGGCGGTGGTGAGGTGGAAGCGCGGGTTGAAGATGGAGCGGGCGGAGGTGAGGATGGCGTATTGGAAGGTGGAGAGGAAGCCGCAGGTTAGATCCTTTTCTTTATTAGTGGATGTATGTAGGGGGGGTATGTGGGGGGTATGTACGGCAAGGAAGATATTAGGGTAGACGAAGAGACGGATGATGTGGACGGGGTTGAAAGCGCGGAGGATGCGGAGCATAGTCTCTTTCGTGGTTGGAGTGGTAGTTGTAGTAGTAGTGGTGGTGGTGATGGTCTTTGCATCTGCTGAGGGTATCTCCGGCACGAAGATCAAGGATAGGATCAGGCCGAAACCTGTCATGGCGACTTGCACCCAGAAGATGATGCGCCAACTGGCGAAGGTGACGATGATGCCGCCGAAGCAGGGACCTATACTATTATTAGCATGCTGCATAGTACCATGATATTTAGACAGTATAGTTTGAGGAATAGGGTTTATACCAATAGCCGGGCCCGCAACAGTCCCTACCATGAAGAATCCCACGGCCGTTCCTCTAACAACCTAGATACTAACATCAGCACCACATCCAAAACAGCAAAATATTGTACTAAGAAGAGGGGGATATACAGGCTCATAAATATCCGCCAAAATGGTCTGCCCCATCACCATAAACGACGTGCCCGTCAAGCCGCCCAAAACACGGAATGCCGTAAACATCTGTAAATTGATGGCGGCGGCCGTACCCGCCGAGCAGCCGCACAGCACCAAAACAGCGATGTTATACGAGATGCGACGGCCGACTAACCGACTCATGGGACCCCAAATGAGCGAGGAGAAGCCCATGGCCAAGAGTACACCGGCGTTGATGACATTGAGGATTTCCTCGGTGGTGTTGAAGCGGGTTGCGATTTCGGGGGTGGCGGGGAGCAGCGAGGTGCTGTTGAAGGTCACCGCGAGGGTCATCCATGAGACGATGAAGAGGATGATGGATTTGTGCCAGAAGGGGAGGTCATAGCCTTTTGTTAGAGTGGGTTTTTCATTGATTGATGGTTGTTGTGATTTAGGAGTGTCATTGTGCTGCATTGGTGTTGGTAGTTGTGTATTTGCCTCTTTGGGTAGAGATGGGTTGGATTCGAGATCGGGAGCCATGGCCGGCATGGGTCCCTTCTAAACTAAGATTATATTTTCGAATTAATTTAGGAATCTTGACTGCTATCTCTTCATTTATCTGCGATACTCCCTTATCTTATATATCTCGTGCAGACTCTTCCGATTCGGCCTGCCGGTTGTGTGGCCGAACTGCTCGCTCGGTCTGCTCGGGAGTCTGGCCGAGTCGGCATCCGCTGCCGATGCCCGTTGACACGCACGCACTTTCGGAGTTGGATCGCGTGTGCTGCAGCTGCATGTTACAGGTAAGAACTTTAACAGACAGCAGAACATCATACATCATACAAATTTTATAAAAGCATCGTTTATAAGGGCAGTTATAGATTTAAGATAGTGATACAAAATATGTGCATTAAATGCTACTTGGAATAATCACAAAGTAGAACGGATTCAATTATGTACGGCTAACAAATCCACCAGTCTTCACGGGCCAGGAAAAAAAAGGGCCCCACACTTCCGCTTCGTGCTTACAGCAGGATCATGCCAAGAGCGGCGCCAACGGCGGTCACCGCATAGGCACCCAGCTGCCAGCTGCCGACCTGGACAGCGTTAGGGGCAGTCAGACCGGCACCAGCACCCTCGGAGGTGCTGGAGCTGGCGCTGGCAACGGAGCCGCCGCCGGTGGGGGAGGAGGTAACGCTGCCGGTACCGGCGGTGCCAGCCTCCTTGAGCAGGGAAGAGCAGGTGCCAGTGGCGGCGCTGGAAGAGGTGGTGGTACCATCACCGCTGAAGTCGCAAGCGCTGGCCTTGGCGCTCTGCTTCTCGTAGTACTGGTTCATGACGAAGCTGAGCTGCTGCTTGGTGGAGCAGACACTGTAGGCACCGTAGTCACCGGTGGTCGAGTTGCTGGACATGCCGGCGCAGTAGTCACCCTTGGCGCAGATGTAGTCGAACAGGTCACCGTACTTGCTCTCCTTGACCGAGTCCTTGACGACGCAAGACAGAGAAGCCTCCATGCAGGAGCAGAGATCCTCGTTGGGGGAGGGGGGCAGAGTGTTGGTGGCCTCCCAGGCGGTGCCGACGCTAGGGCAAGTAGGGGTGGCAGTGTTGCTAGCGGACCAGCTGTTGCTGTTCACACCGGTGGCGGTGGCCTTCAGCATCTGGGAAGACAGGTTGGAGAAGTCCTTGAGGGTGCTGACGCTGGAGCCGTCGACCGAAACCAGACCGTAGTCGTTGTCCTCCTGGAAGTACATGTAGACGATACCACCGCTCCAGACGTCGTTCATCTGGTCACCGAAGAGGACGGGGACATCGGTGAAGGTACGGGGAGAGGGGCTGTTGCAGCCATACTCGGAGAAGAAGGCAGGGACGGGGTAGTCCTTGAACTCCTCGGTACGGGCCTGGTAACCGGAGGTCTTGAAGGAAGAGTCACCGCACCACTCGTAGATGTTGTAACCGAAGAAGTCGATGCGGTCGTCCGAATCACCGCAGACCAGGTAGTTCTTCAGGTCGTCACGGATGGTGGAGTCGTCGTCAGTGGCATAACCAACGCCGAGGGAGCTACGGTAGTTCTTGGCCTTGATGTAGGCCTTCATGTCACGCACGGCGGCCTTGACGTAGGCAATGGCGTTGGTGTTGTTCTGGCTGTTGGCAACCTCGTTACCGGCGAAGAAACCGATGACGTTGGTGTAGTTGGCAAAGGCATCGACGACGCTGGTGTAGCGAGAGTAGAGGTCGGTGTTCCACTGGGGGTCGTCCCGGTTGATGGAGGTCGAGGGGGCCGACAGGTCAGTGATGAGGTAGATGCCAGCATCCTGCAGCGCCTGCATGCACTCGGTGTGGTCCTTGGTGGGGTCGACAGCATAGGTACGGATCACGTTGGTGCGCAGCTGCTGGAGGTAGGGGATATCACGCTTGCAGGTGGAGGCATCGGCCAGAGGGTCGGTGTAGTCCGCGTTGGAGGAATCAGTGCCGTTGCTCGTGTAGTCCTCTGGTGATGGGTTAGCTGCGCGTCGAGGCGCCATTGACAATTGAGCTACATACGCTGATAGGCAACGCCACGGATGAAGCTAGCATGGGTCAGTAAGGAATGCGGAAACGATACCAGAAGTGTGGATCAACTTACAATTGAGTGCCATTGTTGGAGTAGAAGAACTTGTTGCTCTATTCCCAGTGCCGACCAGTTAGGAACTTGATCCCCAGCCCTGCAACGGATGGTGGAAACATACCTTGGCCTCAATGGCAGGCAGGTCCGCGGCAATGGCGCGGCCCAGGAGGAGCGAAGCTCCAGCAAGGGTAGTAGCGGAGAACTTCATTATGGTGAACAGTTATATGTGAAGCGAGAGTCCGAATTCAATGTAGCTGGTTCTTTAAGTCTGCAGATAAAAAGCACTGCAGTCCCGAGGTATCAACTTTCCACAGGAGAGTTAAGATACAAGGGAGAAAGAGGAAGAAAGTCTAGAAGTATACAACGAGTGACTGACGGCTGAAACAAGGCGCCGTGGATATAGCGATGGCTGGATGGATGATGGAAGTGGCTGGGAAGGAGAGAAAGAAAGAAAGAAGATGGGGAAGAAGAAGGAAGAAGAAGAAGAAGAGAAGAGAAGAAAGAGGAGGGAGGGGGTATTTGGAAATAACCAGTACCAGAAGGGGGGGGGAGGAGGCGAATGACGGGGGTAGCGAGTGGCCCCGGCCCCTGCCTCTCACTAACTACAGTTACTTACTACTGACTGACTACTAAGACTATCCATCGCAGGCTGTGTGCCTGTCGGATGTCCTGGCTTACGACGCTCTCCGCTGTAAAAATAGTAAATTCCACCATGATTGGATTTCCAGTCGATGTTGATCTCCAGGGTGGACAATCCATTGTCCGGTCTATGGGGCTATTCCTGTCCCTTCTCACTTCCTTTGTTCCAATGCTACTACGATCTTACTCTCCCATGTGGCAGTGTCATGGATCGTCTCTCATTTCCATAGACAAGCCTTTTTCTTGTGACTCTCTTCTTCCCGTCAAGCATCGTGGGCGCTGGAACCATTTCCACTTTGAAAAAAACCAGACCTGGCCGGAAAGGGCCATGGGTCACGAACGAAACAGACGAGAGAAAGCAAGCGGGTGGGCTGCAAAGGTGAAACTAGCCCCAGGACCCTGTGGGATGATTGGCTCAGGACCCTGGCGGGGGTTTTAATACGGGCGGTAATACGGTGTTCTGACGGGTCCAGACTCATGCCGAGCCTGGTTCCTTGTTCCTGACCTGATCCAACTGGGCAGGTTCCGGGCTCATCCTCTCGCCGTTTCCGTCCCTGTCGCTGGGGAATTGACCTCTCAGGCCCTTTCGTTCTTCTCCGTCCGGTGGGGCGTCTGCTTATTGGGATTCTCTCCTGGACGGCTCATTCACTGCACATCCTCAGGGCCAAATGATGGGAACGGGAGGATGGGAAGTCAACTCTAGACTCGAAATCTGGTTGTTGGTTGGTTTTAAATACACCCTTTTGACGTTGAGACACATCCAATGGACAAGACTCAGACACTCTGGTTCTATTTCCATCAAATCTGACACCTTCCACTGAAACCTCTCCTATAAGCAGAGCTGGCACTGCCAAAAAGAGGAGACTGCCGGACCGAGCGGGCCTCTGCCAAGACTGCCAAGAACACAATGAAATGGTTGGTTTTGCGCTGGTAATGTGACCATACGGTGTACCATACGGTAATGGGGACAGGGAAAGACCCTCGGACCCTGGCAGGGTCTAAGGGTCTGCCGGCCCTGACCACCCCCGAAGGGGCCGTAAACTAATGTAAGGCTGGGTAACTTTAAGGTAACAAATCCCAACCTTGGGATCCACAATTCATGTCCAGGAGAATGAAACATGGATGGCAACTGATCGTCTCATCCAATATTTATTTATTTATTTATCAATTGAGTATTTTTTGTTTTGATTGCAGTGCTTTCTGCTTTTACCCACTCAGATGGAGCTTCACCAATTGCTTGTTTAGCATCGCTTCATCTGCATTGGTGTACACTGTATCCACGTTGCTTCCCACGGCTTCTAAACATTCTTCCGGATTAGCCGTGTCTATCTATAGCGTTTGACGTAGATGAGGAGGGTGGCCACTGTCCGGCTTCAATAAACCTCCGTCATTCTCAGACAGTCTTCAATAGCTTCGCTTCCGGTGGAGCAGGAGTCTGACTCGCTTACACAGTATGGTCTGTCTATCTCTCCTCCAGGCACCAATTTTCGTGGGGTCGGTTGGACAGGAAATGCCGCAACACTCAGGAGTCAAAAGTACAAAGAAACAATGCCATCCCGTCCCCGATCCGGAAGCATCAGCTGTGATCGGCTGCCGAAACACAACACGGGATACCAAGCTTTGAAAGATCATCGAGCGGCTTCCAACTACTCGACCCAATAACAGCCCGTCCACTGCCTGTTGCTTTCGCCTCTCGCTTTCTGCCTTCTCCTTATTATGGTGTCTGTGTCTGTCTTTGTCCACCCATGCTGACCATGTCTCTGTCGGTGTTGTCATCACTCCTCGCCCATCCATCACTTTGCCATGACCTCATTCTCCCCTCCAACCCCCTCCTTTAAAGCAAGGGGGAGCACCCCACTCCTGGTATGAGGATGGAGGATGGACTCACCGATCCAGCCTGCCATTCACCACCGTTGGACGTCATCGGCTTGCTCTGCTGGAGCTTGTAGGCGCCACGATCGCTGTGTTGCGTGACTCCACACATTGGGAGATGGCTACCAACCACGCCCTATTCATCTGTCGCTGTCCTCACCTTGCACGGCATGTTCTTTGTAGCACCTGAAGCGCACTTTTCCGGCGCTTCGATTTGTTGGTTGTCTGTTATGGTCGGAGTTGCATTGCGCGATCGACGAGGTGCTGACTGGTTAACGCCTGGTCAGAATGTCAGCTGGTAGTACAACATGTGCAAGTTCCTCTATCGCTGGGGTAACGGAGTCTCCCAGCTCAGAACAGAGGCACTTCGATCAGACGGACGGAAGTATGTTTGATGAGACTGACAGACTACACAGTACGTACTAACTATAAGCCATGTGGGAGGAGCCTTGGACTGAGTACTCTTGTGGCGGTGCATGTGGCAGTGTGCTGGACATACTGTGTGGCTGACTGACTGTGGCTCAGCCACCACTAGCCACAAATGTGGCGGTCAGGCACTTTCCCGCTTATCTAATATCTGAGTAAGAACTGTCACCAATCAGGGGTCACCACATGGGGCGGCGCGAAACAAGCCAGGGGGCCGCAATTGCTTCGCCAAAGTTTTAACTTTGATTACGACAACCACAAGATCCTCTGGCAAATGGGGCCATTCCGTCGCTGTTCTCACTTGAAGAAACTTCGCGACAGCGTTTAGCGATCATACTGCTGCCCAATATATAGATCTCCTGCCTGTCCTACCTGACAGACAGGCAGCCTACTTGCAGTAGAGGCCCGATGAGGGTGAAATATCTGCTGTCCGCTCCTTTGTGCCCCTGGATCAGCCAAGCACTCTAGACATCATCATGATGAATTCTGCACTCCGCTCGCAAATTCAAAGCCTAACTTCGTTAGTTCGGAGGCAATCTTGGTCTTGGCGGAGTGGTGTTGGGGGTTCCCCGATTGTCAATTGCCTTCTCTAGAAGCGCCAGGGGCTGGATTCACCAAATCTTCACCCACTCGCCAGCTGGGTAGCCAGTGAGCTTGCAGGATGCCTCATTGCCGATGGGGACACTTGGGGGTTATCAAATATCAATCGGGAGGATCCAGCAAATGAGAGGGCCGCCTGTGCGTAGACTAGCGGTAGTTTTGTGGCTGTGCTGCAGTGCAGCAACTCAAACCAAATAATGAGAGATTGTGACGACAATCAACTTGGAACTCTCCTGTGCAGTCTCTCCTTTCAATCACTGTGTGTGTGAATTCTGTGTGAATTCTGTGTGTCTGTCGGAACTTGCCCTTACAGTGTGTGAGGTGTCATTCTTTTCATCCAGTCCTGCTTTGGATTCTGTTGTCGCTCTTTACCGTTGTCATTGCACAGTCCCCGTGTTGCTGCATTCCCGTAATATTAGGCTTTTTTTTCTATATATTACATCGCTGGCTGCTTCTGCACGCGACGTCCCTCCTTCTGCTCTTTGATTTTTCTTCCTATAATTATCGCATCAGCACCGGACCCATTCTGGAATATCTCCGACGCCGCAGTTAGTTTGTCTGTCGAGACCAACCTGAATCAAATCCCCTCCAGCTCGACTGTAGTTTTGGCAGCCACTTGAGGCGGAGTCTTCACGAATCCACTTCAGCCACACTTGAGCCTCCAACAAGGGCTCTTTTGCTGTCTAGTCTATCACTTGGCTACTCCACGTCAGTGAGTCTATTGCTTGTCTTTGTCTTGCCTATTGGATTAAGCATGGATGACCGCTGGTTCCGCGCTGTTGGGACGTCCATGTGCGTTCATCGCCTCTCACCAACGCGGCTCCGTCGATCGCCCTTCTAAATTTGTCTCTTTATATATCATCGCTGACATGGTGCCTAATCATCTTCCAGTACATAGATCCCAAGACCCCTGCATCATTCTTTCTTGATCATCGATCAATAATTAATACACGCCTAGCAATATGCGTATGTATTTTCTTCTGCCCCCTTTTCCGCCCGCGAGCGTCCCTAACGTGCATCTTGGCATCAGATATCTACAAACGACATGCCAGGAAACTGGCCTGGTATGACCAGGAGGGCGAACCATCCTCGGTGAACCCTTTCAAGAAGTTTCGCAGACAGCCCCGACGCACCAATTCGATCCAGCTGGAAAACCGACTCACCCCCGTGTTGTCTGAGGGCGGAGTACGCCTGTCCGAGGAGCGCCGGCGACGGAGAGACATGACCGATGGTCTCGTCGGTCCTGAGCATGCAGATAGCTTCCCTCCTCAGTCCGCTGGCACTGATTTGGTTGGAAGAACGGACAGCAATGATAAAGCGGGCACCGACCCTTCCATGCATAGTCAAGTTCCCATCAATGTTCCGCGCCAGGATGAGCCCGACGACCTGCAGGGCCCGCGAAAGAGAAGGACCTTCTTGAGCAACACTTTTAAGCCCGAAGATGATCAGTTGACCACTGATTCGGGCAAGCCGATCGCAAAGAAGCACAAGTTTACTGTCATGGGACAGTTGAAGGCTACGATCTTCAATTCTTGGATTAACGTTTTGCTTGTCGCCGCGCCGGTTGGAAGTAAGTATCTCAACAGATTCTCAAGAAGCTGTACTGACTCCTGATAGTTGCGTTGAATTATGTCAACGGTGTCAGCCCAGTGGCTGTCTTCGTGGTGAATTTTATTGCGATCATGTAGGCCTACGCTTCCCGGGTACAACTACTCAGCTAACGTGAACAGCCCCCTTGCAGCCATGTTGAGTTACGCGACAGAGGAGATCGCCATGCGGTATGTTGATCGAAAACTCTGACTGGATAATTCTAATGAAGACACAGCACGGGTGAGACAATCGGAGGTCTGCTCAATGCGTCTTTCGGGTAAGTTCTATTCACATCCACAGGATTTCTGGTCTAACCCCGTACAGTAACGCGGTCGAACTTATTGTTGCCATTATCGCTCTGGTGGACAATGAAGTCACCATCGTCCAAACATCTTTGATCGGAAGTATGCTTTCGAATCTGCTTCTGGTCATGGGCATGTGCTTCTTCTTTGGTGGTATCGACCGTCTAGAGCAACATTTCAATCCTGTGGTTGCTCAGACGGCCGCTAGTTTGCTAGCGTTGGCCGTGGGAAGTTTGATTATTCCCACGGCGTTCCACGCTTGGTCCGATGGTGAGTTTTAAATTATCGTTCATCTGACGCAGCTAACAATTTCTAGCTGGCGATACGGGAGTCGCACCCTTGTCACGAGGTATGTACCTTTCCAAAAGCGGTCAGATGTCAGCTTACATTTTTCAGGCACCAGTGTAATCCTGCTGGTCGTTTACGGATGCTATTTGTTTTTCCAGCTCAAGTCGCACACGGAGATCTACAACGCTCCCAGCCCCAAGGTAGAGAAGAGACGGCAGAAGGTGAACGAAGGTGATGCCAGCCGGGGTATCGCGCAGATCGGCAAGATGTCCGCCTCCATGGCGGGCGAACATGCGCAGAACGTGAAACTGCAGGAACCGGACGATGAAGAGGAAGAGCCTCAGCTGAGTGTTGTCGTGGCTGTGCTGACGCTCGTTATCTCCACCGTTTTTGTTGCCCTGTGCGCTGAGTTCATGGTAAGCTACCCTCTTCTCTCATCAGGCGCGTAGCTAATTGTTTAGGTTGACTCGATCGACGCTCTCACCACACAAGGCCACATCTCCGAGACTTTTGTCGGATTGATCCTTCTGCCTATTGTGGGTAATGCGGCTGAGCACGCCACCGCCGTGACTGTGGCATGCAAGGACAAGATGGATCTGGCCATTGGTGTGGCGGTAGGATCCAGCATGCAGATTGCACTATTGGTGCTGCCATTGATCATCGTGATTGGATGGGGCATGGGTAAGTTTATAACCGACTATATGGATCTGAAATGATGCTGACAGTAACAGGTAACGACGATATGACTCTGTATTTCGATGCCTTCCAGGTGATTCTTCTTTTTGTGGCTGTTCTTTTGGTATGCCTCCCACCCCGCTACACCTGAATGTCGACTA